CTGTTTGTTACCGATAAATTACAAAAACAGAAGGATTATGCAACAAATCCTGCTGCCTAGATTAATGGCAGCCGGCCTGACTAGTGGTGGGGGGATATGTGAGACACAGTTGCTACAGACACACTGTTGGATTTGAATCGTTTTTATTCATAATTCTCTCTTCAAACATAACCCCCCCAAAAGAGTATCTTCCGGTTCCCGCCGTTGCTGTTCCGCGCTGCCCGCGATAGCCCCCGCTTGGGACTGTTGCGGGTGCTGCAGGTGCTGTCGTTGCTGTCGCTGAGGACTTTTGTCTGAGCCAGCTTAGTGTGACGCTTATGTCGTCTGCCTGTTTCTGGCCACAGAGATTCATAGCCTCCACCATGGTGTGACACTGGGACGAACAGTCCGTCCGGAACTGATCGGAGCCTCTAGTAAATCCTTTCCTGCACCTTCCGTATAGCCCCCTGCTGTAAGGCCCAGAGTACCGTGGACCTGCGTCACCCACGCCACAATCCGCGCCTGCGAGACTGCGACTGACGCGCACGCGGTAGTGCAGTACTAGCCGCTTCACCTATCTCCTCAGCTCCACTGAGGACATGGTCTCGGACTGCTCGGATTTTCCACCATGGAGTTGGACAGCAAACGCTATATTGTTCGCCACTGTTGACGCCTGGAACGCCACTGGTGTATGCGGTCGGTCTGACCCGGGCACAATGACCGATTCTTTGGGGCAGGCGACATTACGGTCTCCTCACGAGAGGTAGAGGCCGTGCATGGCCTGCTTTGCCCACCGACTCCGTTAGGTTGTGCTCTGAGGAGGCACGTCGGCCCACATCCGTGAACCCCTCCCACTCTCGTGAGCGGGAACGTATGTTCCTACCGGAGCCTTCATTGTCCCCGGGTCCGCCGCCGCCCCCTCTGTCGTACTTCCTTATGGCCGGGAAGGCGTGGCCAGATCGGGTCACCTCCTGGACCCTGCTGAACCCGGGAGAACACCCCGGACAATATCATCCGGGAGGCGAAGCTCTCCTGAGCTGGGAACGGAGAGATTTCTCCAGGCGGCCCGATATAAAGATAAATCTCCGGGAGTTCCCAGGAGAATTCCGCGCAATCGACATGGCAGGAGCCGTGGTGGCGGAGGCGATTTTCTTAGGGATCACTGGAGATAAGGGATCACTGGATCATACGCCGGAACCTACACCGGGCCCCATATCTGTCCCCTCCGTCCATTCAGGTGATCGCCCGTCGAATGGAGGGGACGTAGTCGTCAGACTCGTGCCCGCCATTCGGATCCAGGAAGTCAAGGGCTTTGTCCCCGGAGTAGCCTACTCCTCCTGGACGGGCCAATCGTCCTCGGCAGCCGCAGCAGCGAGAGCGTCCGCTCTCTGCTGTCTGAGGGCCAGCGGGAGACGGGCACAATGTGAGCATGATACCCCGGGAGTGAGAGCAGCATTCGCATGCTCTATTCCCAGGCAGGACTCACACTGTGAGTGCCTGTCAAAGCTCATAATGTAGCCCGACCCGCATGCAAGGCAATCCCTGACGCAACCTTGATTTTCCTGACCAGTCTCCATCTTACCAGAAAACAAAGCTTTTTAGTAGGAATGTTTGCTTTTAGTAAGTAGCTCTGAAAAGAACTTGTTTTGCCTGACAATGTTTCTGCAATGGAGTGCTGAAGAAAAGTGGGAGCAGATTGTCGGGCCTACTTCCTATTTATACGGAAGTGAGCCCGGAGGTGGGGCCCACGTCATAGGTGGGCGTGGATTAAGTCTGTCAGTGCTGCACACGTGCAGAGGGATTACCCAATAGCGATAGCCTTAGAGGGTGAAGCCTTATACGATATAGAACAGTCAGATACCGTTAGCATAACAAACCGGTAGCTGTTGCTAGCTTGGTTAGCAGGGTGCATCTGTATTTCATGTTAATATTTATTAGGCTGCTAATTCTGGCTTGCTAAAAAACTAAACCAAAATGTACATGCCGGAAATATGGCAGCCGACTCTTGTCGCACTGAACAAGACATTCTTAGGCGACCAAAGTGTTTTAATTAACTTTGAAATTAAAGGTGGGGTAGGTAATTCACTTCAGAAACACTTCTTATTATATTCCATGGAATGCTTTTAACATCCCGATAGCAATGAATATATTAAATGCTTTGACAATAAACACATAGAAATATTTAATCTGTGGAAGCCGTGGCGCTGTAAAAAGCACGACCAATCATCTGAGCCGGCCCGGCTAAAATAACTGGATGGCCTACCTGCCTGTCAGCCTTCCATCTCGTGCACAAACTTATCTCGTGCCCTCATTGGTCATGTGCGCATTCGTGTGTGTTGGAGGAGGGGCTCTGAAAGCGAGTCTGTACTTTCAAATTCTAGCGCACTCGAGCTGGTTTCTCCAAAATTACATACCCCACCTTTAACTGAACTGTGAGATGGTTTAAGTTCTAAGATGCAAAACAAGGTAATGGCTATATTAATGTACTCTCATGGAAATGTATTCAGTCTTCAATCTTTATCTACCCTGCATTTTTGATCTTTTATACTCTAGATTGGACCATCATTTATAAAATGAACATTATGCTGTATTGCAAATTATTACAAACAACCACAAATGTGTTTTTATTGCGATACTAAATCATAGACTTCTTTACAATCTGACTTATTTTGCAACCAGTAGAGTTTCCCCACTGCTGGCCATTAGAACGAATGCACTTCTGCTTTGGCTTCACTTTTCAGACCAGGAAGTTGAAAAAACAGCTTTTCATTATTAACAATCTCTTGCTGGTTTATTCGTAATTTGAACCACAATTTAATTGCTAACATTAAAGCATTCAACAGGCATCATAATCTTTACAAGGGTCTGTGCTTTAATGGGCTGAGGCTTTATAGGTTTAAGCCCAAATGTTTAGTTAAGTTGTGTATTATCACATAAGAGACAGACATCTATCCTCCAATGATGGCTGTTCTGCTTTAAGCTGAAGAAGACAACCATTTGTCTTTTTCTGTGACAACCCCACTTATTTTGAAATGTGTAAATTGCAGGGATCATAACCAAAGCTGAGGCATCATCACTCATGCAAGAGAGACACGGTCCTATGGGACAAACTGTACGACAGTGGAAAACAATGAATTAAAAATAGATGGAAAATAATGACTCAAGTGGAATCATTTATTTTTGTTTGTTTTCTAATTCAATTAAAAACTTAAATCAAAACATGTTGACATCTAAATTGAGCTGATAGCTATTAATAAATAAACAGTATACTGTAAAAAAAAAAAAACCTCAAGTCAATCCAAACCATGGTACTTACTGTATAGCTCAGGGGGTTATTATCCGGAGGAATGGTCAAAAACACATGTCTACATATTGAGTGGAGGAGGGAGGCCTGAAGGCAGGGGCTGACATCTTCTGTTTTTTCTGTTTAATGCTTTCAAAATCCAACTTACTCTTGCTCTTGGTTCTCCAAAGCTGCCTACCCCAGCTTTAAAGTCTGTTAAGAGTTATGGCTCATTGGAAATATTTGCTAAAGAAATGCATGAATGCTGGAGGCTATGTGTTACCTTCTTCTTGTCCAATTGAATACATGAAATGCATGTCATTTTCCCTAAGGTGCAAGGTGACAAGCCATACCTATTTAAAAAACATTAAGCCTATTTTTCTGACAATGTTTTCCAACTCTGGATAAATGGTTGAAACATTACTTCTGCCTGGGGTAGATTAATTAATGCAATGTGTAACTACCAAGGTAATAATGTTGAAAAACATCCAGTTTAAGATTAACTAAAAAAAACACACTTTGAATATGACTGGTGGCGATGAATTCAGGGATACTTGAATTATCTCACGGCTGTACATCTGGAAAATCTAAGTATGCAGTATTTTCTTTAAGCAGCCTTTCAAATAGCCTTTGGGGTTGTTTTACTGTTTTCCAGCTAATGTTCTGGTTTCCATAGCTCCTGTAAGGTATATACATTTATATATTCCACTGGCATTGGCTGGAGGCTGTACAGGCTACGTGGCAGAGAGCGAGCAGCAGGAGCCTGTAGCAAACAAACAGGATGGTGTTGGCATGCTGGTCCTGATGTCTCTGCAGCTCCACAGCAGCTGCTGCATTAGTTTCCTCTATAATGACTCCAGATTCATTCATGTTGTTAAATAAAACTATGCACGACCAAAAAAATTAAAAAAATTAGTGAGAGAGGCAAACATTTTTTAATATTTCACATTAAGGTCTCATACTATTGCCAATAAATAAGTATAAAAAACAACAGTAGTAGTGCAGTTTGTACCTCTCCAACAGATGCTTACTCCTCTTACTGTAGTTCCAACATGGAACAGCTGAGTAACTTTATTCAAAAATGGAGGATAAATGGCTGCAAATTTCTAAGCCCGCGTTAACTTTGGAAACATAATCAAAAAGGCTGGTGCAACGTCTGCTCCACTGAAAATAAAAAAGTCACGTACCTGTCATCCTGGACAATATTCCTCAAACATTTATCACTGTGCTGATGCAACACAGGAGTTATTTCAGAAATATTTATTTTTGTTCTTTGAAGTCAATTTCTTCACAGGGACTATTCTAACGGAGATAAAGCCTATTTTTATTTACTGCTAGTTATTTACCGCTAGATTCTTTTTATGAATCCTTTTCTTCCTGAGTACCTTCAGCGCTACCTCTTGGGCTACTGCTTCCACTGAAAGTTTTATGAGCACCACCTCAGCGATAGCCTGCAGCAGTCCTTTATAAATCTGCTCTCCTGTAACAGAGGCCTCAAGCTGTGTGGATTCAGCATCTTACAGTTTTTTGAGTTTGCGCCCACAATATTATGTAGACTTAAAAATCTCTGAATCAACTGGTGGCTTGGATACAATGTCACCTTGCATGTTGAGCCCAAATTCCAAAGCTGTGAGGAGAGAAAAATTGACGTTAAATGGCACCTTGTTAATGTTTCTCCACTGAGAGTAGTCGTGCTGCTCACCTCTCCTAATTACAGGACCCCTATTGGTCGGACGGATGGCACGCAGGAGCCAATCCCAGAGCGCCCACCAGCATGCAGGGGCAGTTTGACATGCCTTTTTGTTTTTAATGATCAAGGGGGTTCCTTTAAAATGTTTGCCTTTCCGCCTGTCCCTTAGGTTAGAGAGCTCAGACAACCAGCAAGCCCACCCTCAAGAAGCTCGATCCAGAAAGCCGCTGGATCCCGAGGTGATCACAGGAGGCCTGAACTTCAGCCCCTTAGCAGGTAAGGACTCTTGTGCATGATGCTAAATATATTTGCAGCTATTCGAGCCACTGCAACTGCCTGCTTCATCGTCTGTGGTTCCAAAGTGAGAAAGTCTTCATATTTTTTAAATCAGAAGCTGTTATTTAACAGACAAAAGAACATTTCAGGCTTTTTCCCTGTTCGATTGTTCATGTCAGTCGCATTATATGATATTCAGATATTCATAATTTACGTCTTATTTTCCTCAGTAATCCCTGAAACAAATCTCTATTACAGCATGTCCCCAATCCTCTCCATTGTCTGGGTATCAGCCAGTTACATAAAAGCTTTCTCATTGTTCCAAGTGCATTGTCTTCTCATTTCCATATCTAACAAAACTCTCCACAGAAATAAAAGACACCAGATTCAATCCAAGTCTAGTTGAATTGTAATATCACAGTATAATGCCAGAAGTTCATACTTTATTAAGCAGCCTCAAATGCAATTCTGTTACAACATTATCACTGATTGTTGTTTCTGTCTTTTCCCCTCAGGAAGCATATAAAACAGAAAATGGCACGTTCTGGAAGACCATCACTTTTCCTGATCCACACAGGATTCCTATTAGCTATCGTTTTACTTCCAGGTGAGACTTAATGTACATATTTTAACTGATATAAAATGCTTCTTTGATTTTTTTTAACTAAGATGAACCACACTGAAGATACTGAGGTATGTTGGCGGATTTATCACCCTGCTAAGGATTTGATTAACGATGATACTTTGATAGGTTACATTTTTGAAACTTTGAATCTAATTTAGAGCTGCCCACTATTAGACAAATAGTAAACACGTTCATAGTTTTTGTCTTGACTACTTGTGGTTTCTTCTGTTGGCGATTAGAACATCTCCCGTAATCAGAAGGTTTAAAGTAAATATTTGTTTACGTTTCACTGATGAGAAACTCTACCAACCAACAAATTGATTAGTCGACAAAGTTGTATGGGTCTTTCCGAGTAAGCCTTACAAAAATAAAATGTGTTTTTCGTAAAAAATACAATAAATTAAAAACAATAATAGAAGTTTGTTGAATTTAGGTGTTTGAGACAAGTGAGACAACTTTGAAACACCATTTAGAGTCTCCAAGCTCCCTGGTTTAGTAACCACCTGCATGCCTTTTTAAAGGTCTTGTCCTTCATTTAAAAAGTCCACAAATATGTTTGTTTGGTTATTTCTCAGCTTGGTTCATTTGAAGGTTTTTCTCTGGCCTTAATTTTCTGTCTAATTTCCATTTAACCATCTCTCTTCCTTTGTGGAAGAATTTGTGTTTTTGCCAGCAATGGAATTTAGCACCATTTTCATTTTTTGTGTTCCTACGTTATTTGTCCTCCCTCCTTAAGGAGAAAGCATCCTTTGTTCCCTTGAAAAGTTATATAGAAATGCATATTATTATACATATTATTTGAATTATAACGTCCATGAGCATTGGCTTATTATTGAAACATAAACTACCTTCAATACCAGAAAGAACATTCTGTGTTGATGTGCATGGTAGCCATCTCTCTAGAGTCATAAAAAACATGAACACCTTCTCCTCTGGGAGATTTTCCATATTAATAAATGAAAAGGACCGGAAGTTTCTGCCATAATCAGCTGACTCCACTAGTTTTTTCTCGTTAACTTCTGAAGGAACCATCCCCCCCCCCTCGCAGAAGAGCGAGATGTACACAGACATGTCCCCCCCCCCCTCCAACCTCTCACTTTTACAGTGCATTGGTAATTGGTTTGTGTGAGGGCCCAGTCTTTGTAGTTTTACAGGTAAACTTTTAGGAGGCCCCCAATAGTTGCACAAGCTCTACTGGTCTGGCTCAAAGCCCAGCAGAGCGTGGGGCTGGGTGGGGGTCTGCAGGAGGGGGGGTGTTTAATCTGCAGGATGCTGCATGTGTTGGGGCGCCAGAGCCCCAGCACCTGCCGTGTTTCACCCACGGGCTTATTAGCATGTCAGCGTTTTCCCTGATGTTGAGAGAAAGCTCAACATCTGGTCCCATTCAGTGAGCGTCTCTGCTGCTGCTAATATGGCTGCTTGTGTTTTACAGAGTTTCTGGGGGCCGTGCCAGTGGAGCAGCGCAGGGAGGAGGAAGGTAAGCATCTGTGGTGTGGCATGTGGGACACCATGGCAGTTTAGTCAGTTAAAATATGGATTAGGGAGGTGGACTTTAAAAACCTCAATCATGGACAGAGATGATTTCAATGTTCTTCCTTTGTTACACACAGTCAGTAACTCACAGATGTTGGTGACAAAACAATTAGCTACAATTTGGCGAGGTGCAATACAGAACTAAAACAAATTTTTCTGACATCACTATGTAACACTGCAGCCTTCTATTGGCTAATGCTCCGACACATTGTACATGATAGGCTAAGGGACGGGACATCTCTAAGCAATTAGCCAATTACAACAGAGCCAGCCAGCTAACCAATCAGAACAGACTGGGCTCTGGTTTTAGACAGAGGGTGAAAAGAGGTGCTGCAACACAGGCAGAATGAAAAAATAAGCACTTTTTGAACGTTAAAGCATGTAAGTAGAGGCACAAAATACAAATATGAACCTGAAAAGGTGCATAATGTGTACTCTTTAAACCATTTGTAAGTTATTTATCCAGCACACTTTCTTTCCCTCTCTCTCCTCAGTGACTGCAGTGTCTGAAGATGTGAAGGCCGAGGCCATGGAGAACCCGAGGACTCTTGTTCGCAACAGAAGGAACATCTTCCCCGTCATGGCCCCAATGGGCCAAATACCCCATTTCAAACGCATGCCCGACTTCTGGGGATGGTACAAGCTCTTCATGAACAGCCACAACCAGGAGGGAGTGAGTGCAGTTTGTTTCGCATTAATCATCAGTTCCTACCAGGGAGGATTGACAATGCTCATTCTTTGCAAAAAATACTGATTAAACAGCATTCTTCATATGATAAATTAGCGATGCAAGTCCTGTTCCAGCATGTTATTACCAGTGAGAGCTCAGTGGTTTAAGATTGAGGCTGTATATAGATGAGAAACAACACAGTGAGCTGAAAAAAGAAAAACTCCTCCACAGAGGATTCGTGTGAAAGTGTTCATCTATAAAGGACTTCGTTTAAAGGTCCCATGGTGTAAAAAGTGAGATGTATTCACGTGATTCTTAGTGCTATATAATCACTGTGAAAGCATCAAAACGCTCAGTCCTTGGAGAATTACACGCAGCCTTTTTCAGATATCTTAAGCCTTTCACACGTCGTCAGGACTACTGCAATGTTGTGAAGTCAAAACGGTTCATCTTTTCATTCACTATATACAGTCATTTTCTGGAAGCAATTTTTGTGGCAGGCGCTAAACAGAGCGTTTCATAAAGGTATCTGCAGGCACACACTATGAGAAATAGGATGTGTTTTGAACATTAAACCATGTTAACATGTACTGGAAGTCACCCAAAAAAGAAGTATAAATCTGGAATTAAGTATAATATGCGTCATTTCATTTCCTATTTCTTGCGTGCAAGCGTAAATAATTCAATTATACATTTTCCCTTTCCACCCAATATTCCAGGTTGAGGATCTGGATCGTCTGTACATGAACTTCCTGCAGAACAAGCACAGGTCAGAGGAGGGCCCGAACTTCAACCACTACCTGAAGCACCTCAGTGAAATCTACAAAACCTGTGCCGACTCCGATGATCCCGAGTGCATCTCCGAGTTCACCAGCAAGCCCAAGGCCGCGCTGGTGATGCCCGAGGCCATCAAGACTGCCGACGTCAGGATGTGCAACCCTTACCTGGACCCCTACTGCCTCTTCCCCATCGGCCCCAAGGCTGCTGCGCCCGCGCCTGCTCCGGTCAAACTGCCCGCCCCCATCCTCACCCCCATGCTGCCCATGCCCATGAAGAGCTCCACCGGCTTCTACTACTACGCCCCCGTCCTGGAGCCCTTCCTCAGCGAACCGCAGAGGGCCGAGCTGCTGAGAATCTGCAACTCTGAGGATGTGGAGTGTCTGCAGTATCACCTGAGATCAGCCTATGGCTACCGCCCGGCCGCTGGCCCCGCCCCATCCTACGCCGCTCTCAAATGCGACCCCAAGGACCCGTACTGCATGCCCCCCCTGGTCCAGAAATCCCCCACCGGCTTCTACCACATGCTGTACCCCAGCTGTGACCCAGCAGTGGATCCTCTGTGTGTGACCGCCGCCCCGGCCCCCCTCGCTGCGGAGGAGGAACCCAAAGAGCAGCACTGCAACCCCCTGTTTGACGGCGGCTGCAACCCGCTAAGCGCCACCAAGCTGTCCGGACTCACCAGGCCCGTGTTGGAGTTCGCCCCCAAGGCAGCGGCTGCTTCTGGCCCCGCCCCTCTGTCCTGCGACCCTCGCTACGACCCGTACTGCATCCTGGCCGCCGCCGCCGCCCTGCGTAGGCCCGCCCCGCAGATGCCCGAGCACCAGGTCTGAATTTGAAGTCCTGCTACTAGATATAGTTGGATGTCTTGACTAATCTAGTGAAATACTGCTTGTTGAATGGTGCCACTAATTGTCTCTTCCTTTTCATTCAGTTTATTAAATGATTTAGTGAAATTAAATGGGTGTTGCAAAATGCTTTCACTTGCTTTCTATGATCTGTTTTGCATCTGTTTTGAACCAAACACACAAATCAATCAATTAACCAGGTCCGCTACAAGCTCGGCATCGAAGGCAAGACCAAGGATGGCCACGACTGCTACGTGCACTACGACAAAGACTGCACCCCCGTGAAGTATGGCTCCGCGGCCAAGGCCAACATCAAGGCTCCAGCCAAGCCTTTCTGCCATCCCTTCGACCCAAACTGCGGCAAGTTTGCTGCAGGACCCTCGGCCGTTAAGGCCCCAAAGCCCAGCAATGATGGCATCATCCTGCCCGACCCCGACTGCGACCCTGAGATGGACTTCAACTGCCGCCTGCGTCGCGCCCAGCCCGCTGAAACAGCTGCTGATGAGCCCGCGGCCGCCGACGAGCCCGCCAGAGAGGCCGCCATGCCAAACTTTGAAGACTTCCTGCGGGGCGTCATGAGCAAGCACCAGCAGAAATAACAACATCAATGCCTTCTAGATAATCTACCTGGCAGAAATGGAGCTCACTGTGTTGTCTTTAATCTTTATGGACTTCATGAACCACCTTTCACAGTATCACCAGCTCCATAACAAACTATAACATAAATCAGAAAATATTGCAGCTGATTTTCACAGAAAATCTGAACGCATCTTAATGTTGGTCTGCTTTACAAAAGGGGAATAATTCAAGAGGGCCAAGCAACATAGATCATGTGAAACTTGTGTAATAAATACTTCATGTATGTATGTTTGTAGAAAGAGTCGTATGTATAGATGTTTGATAGATTAGGGGTAGTTGTGTTAGTGGGCCATAATATCTCTCTGCTGTACATTCTCTGTTTCCATTTGAGTTACCCTATTTAATGTTGTGTTTCACATTTTTCTGTAACTCTGAACCTCGTAATGCTTCATCTGTTTAGTTTTTATGAAGTTCTTAATAAAAAATGAGTTGAAAAACTTCTGAATTGTCTTTCTAGATCTGCACTTTGAGGTCACAGACTAGAGATGAGAGGAAAGTATATCACTTGATGATGAGCAGCCAAACACCATTGCTAAAGTTTCAAGAATCCAACAAATATTTAAAAGTTTTAACATCATTTAATAAAGTTTACTCTGCACACAGCATTTCCTCACATCATCACATCAGTCCCCAGATGTTTCAACTAACATGCAGCACCGTGTCCAGCCTTACAGCCAGCTGGCACCAGTTTATTATCCACCATTATAAAAATAGCTGATTGTTGCTACATCTGCATGTTTAACATAATTTCCAAAAAAAAAGTGTTTCTAAGGTAGTACATTACACTGTCAAACTTCTACCTAATTAGAGATGTATCAAAACAGTGTTTTCCCACCCTTATTGCAAGATAAAGGAAAGCTTTGGCAATTTTCAACCAGCTTTGTGTCTTTTCAAAGTGGGTGGTACGTGCAAATAAACCATTTTTTGCTTCTCTCAACGTTACTGCAGCCTGGGGAGCTCTTGGCGCCAGTAACTGACGGAGGGAAGCCTGTGTTTACCGTGCAATGTAAAGATGGCTGCTGTTAAAAGAGCCCATCACTACTGTTAGCATTGTGTTCACAATGACAATGCTGATGTATAAGTGGTACAATAGTGCAGCTGAGGCTTATGGTGTTCTTGCAGGTATTTGGTCTTATTATGAGATGTTTAATCATGATCAAAGTATCTATAAACAGTTATATGACCAAAAGCCAATGGATTCTCAGATTGGGATAAAAGCGGTTGATCAACCATAATAGCAAGGCTAAAACAGCAAAGTGTGTTCCTGACAATGTCACAGCTGTCCACAGTTGTCTAAATTGTTAACAGTGACAAGGGGAATTCAGTAACACCTCGAGCAACGTGATTAATTAATCCCGAACAGTGTCATCACATGTCCTGTGAAACACTCACACACACTTGTCTTTGTAAATTGCGAGGATATTGTATTGACCCACATTGATTTGCTAGATTCTAAAACTGCTAACCTTAAAAGCATGTGCTATCCCTAAAATGAATGGTAATCCAGATGTTTGAGTCCTGATAATGTGACTGTTTGAAAAGGTGAACATAAATATTGTTATGTACAAAACTAACATGTTTTTTCTGCATGTAGGGTGGTGTATGAGCAGGAGGATTAATATTTACAGTCACACATCAATGTAACAACAGATGCATAGTGCATCTACCAACCGTACGGAAAATACGAATACATCTTAGTTTAACATCTGACAAAAACACAATCACAAATTCAGGGTTTTGATAAATGAATGTATTTCTTTGAAATGTGAACAGCCTTTATTCAAGAAATCCTGAATGATTAACTGCTGTGTGTTCTCTTCCACAGTTGAACAGTGTATTTTATAAAGCAGCTCCAGCCCTGGGCTACAAGGACTGCAGAGTCTTTTTCAATAACCAACTTTTCAACAGCTCCAGCACACAGCCGTCGCCTCAAGGAGACAAACGCCGCCACCACTGCTGCACCTGACAGTTTTAAAGGCAGATAACACACAGCCGGGCCGGTAATGACTACCTGAACACAACATGCACTCAAAAAGCACCATGAAGGTATGTTCCTAATTGTAGCTGCTGTCCTGTAAAGTTTGGACTGCAGAATTCTCCTGTCACGCTGACAAAACAGTGAAACTTTCTGAAGCAAAACAAACTTTAAACTGCACTCAAGTTCATTCCTACCTGAGTCCTTCACCATATTCAAATGTGCTTTAGTGCAGTCGTTGAAAGTAAGTCTGTTAGTCAAGTAATAATTGAAAGTGAGGCGCTTTTACCGCATGTATTTGACAGTATTAGCTAGTTAAACTGCGGATTCAAATCACTAACACAAAATATAATAAACAAATATAGTTTTGTTAAAAGTTGCAGATGATACTTTATTTATCCTGGGATACAATTCTAAGTAATGCACAACTTATAATACAGCAATATAGTAAGCATTATGCATAATAAGTACTTTTAAGCTTAGTTCTTCAAGCAAATGCTAATACTTTAGTAAAGTACATGTTTGAAAGCAGTCCATACTTGAGTATTTCCTCACTGTTGTATTGCTACTTTTACTTGTGAAAACAATACTTTTTTGATTACTGTGTCAGGGTCTAAAATGAAATACAAACTTTTAAAGGAAACGTTCTATTCAAGTTTTAAACGTTAAAGTGTCTTTACTCTGCCTAAACCAAATAAATATAGTTTTTTTAACCAAGTAGAATGTTTAATGTGATGATGGTACTTGCAGAGGTGTTTCCACTCTTGTTGTGAGCTTTAATATTTACCTGCAGTCTCCAGCAGGTAGCGCTGATCTCCCAGAGCCGCAGAGACTGAGGCTGTCACCTGTCTGTCCAGCTGTCACAATTATTTCCATCACACTGAGTGTCAGAGCTGTTCTGTAATGACAGCTAGGGCTCATGAGAAAAACTTCAAAGCATGTAAACCTCGTACAACATTAATTAATAATCATTCTTAGACCATTAATCCAACATCAGTTAGACTACCTCATCCCCTATTCATGATATAACATAACCTTTGTTTACTTTTACTCTTTATAGTTTTATATCTTTAGGTGAGATATTGTGAAAGCTGCATCGTTGCTAAAAATTTAATTTCATCAAAGGTCGTATCGGGGGAGCAGAGATCAAACAGTGTGAGGAGGAGAAAGAGAAAATGTTTGGAATCAATTTCACGCCTCCGTGAAGAATAATTGCTGTGGATTTTAAACATTATGATATTAAGATAAGCGCCTTTCAGCTTGTCTCAGTGGAACGAATTTAGTCTACTGGTTTTATCACGGCTGCCTGTTTCTGTGTTAATTACTAAATAACTGATGAATTTATCTAACGTGAAAAACCTTTCCACGCCTCTGTGACAGAAATACAGACAGATATCCAACAAAAATGATATTGCAAAGCTTGTTTATAAATCTATTTTTAATGAGATTAAATAAAAGATCCATGCACACAAAAGTATTTTTTTCTCTCAAATGTTTTTCACTCATTTAGTTAAAATCCATGTAGTGTGACCACTCTTTCTATGCCAAGATAATCCATCCACCTGACAGGTGTTGCATATCAAGGTGATGATTAAACAACGTCATCATTACAGGTGTACCTTGGGCTGGTCACATTTAAAGTCTTTTATCACACTGCAACAGATATCAATAGTTTTGAGGAAATGTCCTTTGGCATGAGTGCAACCAGAACTGTTGCCCATTTAATAATTGGTGCTGAGCCTTCTATGACTTTTCTTGAATTTGCCAGGGCATTCAAGTCGCCTCACATCGTTGCCCACATGTTACCAATCCAGCACAGGACTTCTACATCAGACTTCTTCACCTGAAGATCGTAAGAGACCAGCCACCATGATAGCATGTTTACAATATGTGTTTTGCATGATATCGCATCACACTAACATACTACTACTGAACTGCACATGCAATATGACAAGGTTTTTTTTAAAAGAAAAAACATAATTTGTCTTTATTAGACAGAGGAGAAATAGAGATATCTGTTCATGTTGTGTTTTATTTTGAATTGTCACAGTTTTCCTGTTTTACTTTGAAGGTGTTCACCCCCTGTCTGTCATGTATATTTGCTTCCTGTCTGCGTCTGATTGTCTGACTGTTCACCTGTTGCCCTGGTGTTTCACCTCCCCTCCAGCCTCTGTGTCTTGTCTTGTGTATTTAGTCTTGCTTTCCCTTGCGTTCCTTGTCAGTTCGTCATCATTTTTCGTGTGTTTTGGCTCGGATGTCATGATCTGGATGTCCCTGGTCTGCCCTCCTGTGTCCCGAGTGTTCCCGGTTTGTTCTTGTTCTGTTTGTTACTTTTCCTTTTGTTCCACCTCGCCTGCTCCTGCCGTTTATTGTGTTGTATCAGCTTTTAATTTAATAAAAGCTCGCCTTTTGTTTACATCCCCATACCTGCCTCCCTGGTTGCACTGCTGTTGGGCCCGCACTCTTGCTGAAACCTGAAAAGAGATACAGATTGGAAACGCAGGAAAGAGAGAGTGATGACTTCCCTGTTAAATGAAGGGAGTCTGGGCCAATTGGTTACTGGTCTCACCCAATGGTTTTCTTCCCAGTATTTTAACCTTCCTAGGTTAAGGGGGGACTTAAAGTGAAACTGTCTAAGGGATGTATGCTCGACAAATAGGAGGGTCTTCACCTGACTTCAGTCCATTGACGTAAACAACTTATATGCACAAATTTCACTCTCCGATGGTGTCGTCTCTTTGGAGAAATGCTCTCTTCACAGATTAATACTATACCAAAGAATGCATATCTGCAGAATTAGTCTTGTGAAATCCATAGTTCAGAATAAATGTCAACTTTCATCATACATCTGAAATAATTATGTTTAATCTGTAATCACACATGTCAATGGATTATCTTGGCAAACTAGATAGACAGACAGATAGATAGACAGATAGATAGACAGATAGATAGACAGACAGACAGACAGACAGACAGACAGACAGACAGACAGACAGACAGACAGGTAGGTAGGTAGGTGAATTATTCACGTCAGTACTTTCATATTAACAGACCTACATGCATTACATTATGCATGAATAGTCCATGGTCAGCTGCTGCTCTTTGGGGACACGGTTTGATGAAAAAAAGAGCTCCAAGAAAGGTTTTTCTTGTCATAAACAAGCATGAGGTTTGCCGCAGAGTGAGCCATCATTTATACGCTGAATCTATTCTTTATATGGAGGCATGGCTGTTAAAACTAATGGACACAGCATGTATTATAAGTCACTAGTGAATACGCTTTTCTGTGGTTCAGGAATGGAGCAAAAGCTGAGAGTGGTTTTCTGTGTTTGAGGTCTGTGGTCAAGTCAAAATTCTCCACTCTAAAGTAGCAATATGAAAAGCTCATTTTCTTTGCCTTG